GCGGCGTGCAACCCGATCCCACAATATATTCCTATTCAATTCTGTTATGGCGTGCAACCCGCTCCTCTAATATATTCATTTCAATCAATTCTGTTGTGGCGTGCAACCTGATCCCCCAATATAGACTTTTAAATAAGTCTGTTGCGGCGTGCAATCCGATCCCCCAATATAGACTTTTAAATAAGTCTGTTACGGCGTGCAACCCGTTCCTCCAATATATTCAATTCAATCAATTCTGTTGCGGCGTGCAACCCGTTCCTCCAATATATTCATTTCAATTAATTATGTTACGACGTGCAACCCGTTCCTCCAATATATTTTACCAACTCTTAAATGTAATAAAAATACTCCAATAAATACCACGTTCAATGAGAAATTATTAAGCATCAAGGCATACAATAGTTATAATTTATTTATGAAACAAACAATGACAAGTAGCAATTAATTGTGAAAATTAGGGAGAAAATAGGTAGGATAATATTTAATATGTTAAATGTCAAGTAGCAATTAAGACACATAAATCAAATAAGCATGTGACAATTATTACAGGAACTCAAGAATTAATATTTGACAAGGAATAAGAGAGAAACAATTATTATAACAATTAATTCGTGTTTTAAAATAATTTAAGATGTTGAAATAATTAATCAAATAATTAAATTGACAAAGTATAAGCACTCGTCACCTTGCCTATACATCATTGCACATGAAATTCACATAGCAAATAATTCAGAGGTTCTATTCCCTCAAGTCAAGGTTAACCACGACACTTACCTCGCTTTGCAACCAAATTCAAGAATCCAATAAACCCTTGCCTCGCGAATTCGTACCCAAAATCCTCAAATCTAGTCATAAACAATTCAATATACTCAATACAAATCGTAGGAATTAATTCCATATGAATTTACTAATTTTTTGGATTAAAAATCTGAAATTAAATTTAAAAATCAACAGTGGGACCCACGTCTCGAATCCTGAAAATACTCACGAAATCCGAACACTCGTTCCGATACGAGTTCAACCATTTAAAAATTATCGATTTCTGACATCGGATTGACCTTCAAATCTAAATTTTTACATTTTTGGATGATTTTATAAAAATCTGATTTTTCTTCCATAATTTCACGGATTCATGATATGAATGAGTATGGAATCATGAAATATAATCAATATAGGATAAGGAACTCTTACCGCATTGTTTCTCCGTGAAAATTGCCCAAAAATTGCCTTACCCGAGCTCAAAAATCAAAAATGGTTGAAAATGGGACGAAATCCCATTTACCGAACTTAAGTTCTGTTGCCCAGGTTTTTACTCTTCGTAAACGCGGTCAATGCCTCGCGTTCGCGAAGCACAAATTTGTGTTGTCCAACATTGCCCTTCGCGAACGCGATGCTTGCCTGGCTTGGCCTTCGCGAACACGAGATGCCCTTCACGAATGCGAAGGAAAAATCTGTGGCCAGCCTTTTTCCCTTCGCGAACGCGATGCCCTATCGCGAACGCGAAGAACAACCCCGCATGCCTCCAGTTTATTCTTCGCGAACGTGAAGAAGGAAACCAGAAGCAGATTTTTGCAGTTTTACCAAGTCCAAAAATGATCCGTTAACCACCCAAAATCAACCCGAGGCCCCCGGGACCCCAACCAAATATACCAACAAGTCCCGAAACATGATACGGACTTACTCGGGGTTTCAAATCACGTCAAACAATATCAAAATCGCAATTTACATCTCGAATCAAACTTTTGAGTTTTAAACTTTTCAATTTACAAAGCTCGTGCCGAAACATGTTAAATGAATCCGGAATGATTTCAAATTTGGCACACAAGTCATAAATGACATAACGGAGCTATTCTAATTTTCGGAATCTCAATCCGAGTCCGATATCCATAAATTCAACCCCGTGGTCAAACTTTAGAAACCTTTAGCCTTTAGATTTTTAGTTTCCGTTAAATGGTTGATAATTTGAGGTAGGGACCTACGAATTTGATTTCGGGCATACGCCCAAGTCCCAAATCACGATACGGACCTACTCGAACTGTTAAAATACTGATCCGAGTCCGTTTGCTCAAAATGTTGACCAAAGTCAACTCAATTGAGTTTTTAAAGCTCTATTTCACATTTTAATCAATTTTTCATATAAACAATTTCCGTAAATTATACGGACTGCGCACGCAAGTCAAAGATTGATAAATAGTGCTTTTCGAGGTCTTAGAACACAAAATTAATTATTAAATTTAAAGATGACCTTTTGGGTCATCACAAATAGACGTCATTACGGTCCCGATGGTGGAAATTTCGGGTCGTGACATGACGTGAACCAAAATAGTAATGAGATTAATTCTAAATGAAATAAATAACTCGTGGCAAAATTAACTTACAACACTCTCATAATGTGCCTCATACGTTGTGACAGAATATCTTTGGTGGGCGACAGAATATGTTTAGTGGGCCACAAACCAATAGTAAAATTAATTCAACGTTTTATATCTAAAATCTAAAATTGTCGTTAATTTACTTCTTCATTATAATATATTATTATTTTTAATTATTATATAAATATACAAATAACCCTAATAGAAAAATCAAGATATTGTCGTCGTCGACATTAAGTACTCATCATTAGAAATAAGGCATATGTATTCACATTAAATCATAAGAAACCAATTAAATCTTTAAAACTCAGAACAATAGTTTTTAATTATGCACAAAATTCAACGTAAAATTTGACAAAAACAGTGAGGTAAAAATAACTTTTCTATTATCACACTTTACCGATTAATATCAGTAATTATTTGATGTGAAATCAAGCGTAAGGATCATTCTCGTTATTGATTTTTAATTACTTTCGTGATAAAGATTATTAGTTCAAATATTATACTCTGATACCATATTACATATAAACTTCAAACATATAAATAATTATATTTTGCTATAAACCAATAATAGTATCATGATCTTAAACACAATACTTTTACATAAAAGCAATACATAAACATGATGCGAAAGACGTGATCGTAAACAAACAATTTAAGCCTTTCCAAAATCAAATGGTAAGCTAATTTTACTAGACCAACACATGTCAAAGATGATATCAGGCCAAGAGAGAATATTTTACATAAGTGACAATAAAAAGCAGTTGGAGAAGTCTCCCTTTCTTGAGATACTTAAAAAGAAAGACTATGAGGTATAACTTTTTGTTGGGGTACATTTTACACTAGAAGTCCATTTGGATTTGTTTAAAAAAGTGGCACTTATGCAGAAATAACTTTTAAGCTAAAAAGTAATATGCTGGATTTGCCCAGCTTATTTTTTTAAAAAAATTTTATTTTAATTATTTTTAACTTTTTCAAACACTGAAAAAGTTAAAAAGAGCGTAAAAACTGATTTGACCAATTTAAAAGCCAATCCAAACACCCTTTAAGTCTTGAAACAAAATGACAATTTTATTTTTTTCTCATTTTCTAGGCCATAGTCATCAAAGATGAAATGGATGAACATGTGATGCAACATTTGAGAGAAAATAAGGTCAAAAAATTTTATGAGTGTCGAAGATGGTGAGCTAGTTGCAGTTGGTTGTAGTTGGAGAGAATTTCTTTGAGACAAGCTTAAGAGCAAAGCCCGTAAATAAAAGTTATTTTTCTCCCATAAGAACATTTTGAGTGTCTGAGATGATGAACTAGTTCCATTTGGTTGTAGTTCTCTCTTTATTTCAATGTGTTGTAGTAGTGTTTGAGAATAAGTGAGAGCGAAAATTAAGATTGAGCGTGAGAAAAAATATTTGCTAATTTTCAAAAAAATTGAAGTTTTCTCGCTTGAAGATTTTGCTGGTAAAGAACTTTTAAAGTGTCATAAGAGTATTTATTTGCTAATTGTTGTGGTAAGAGTACTGGAGCAGTTTTGATATTAATCATTTTGTTGGAATTAAATTTCACGTGTGGTCGTATTTTTTATTTAAATAGAATTATTCATACAATATAAATTGTGTTTTATTTTAAATAAGTGGTGTGTTAAAATATTAGTTGACTATTTTGAAGAGTTACTATGGGTGACCAAACACATGATTGTGGGAGGAAGCCTCAAAATAATGGTCTTCCTCTGAATGGTCTCTAATTTAATCAATTAATATTTTTTTTTCCATCACAAGCGATTGTTTTGAATTAGAAAAACAAACCCACAATGAAGATTGCAAACGTTCTTCATCAAAATCTCAACAATGGCTGGAGGTTAGTTTTCTTGTTGTGCTTTCGCTATCTGTAAGAATCCATATTGTATGTCATGCATGTAGTATCAGAGCCAAGGTTCTTTTTAACTTATCATAGGTTTTGATTCTTTTTGTAGCATTTTATAAATTTTGTTGTCGCAATGTTGATAATATACATTTGTTATGTATAACATATTCTTGATAATTATAAATAATTATTATTATTTGGGGAGGTTATTATAATATTTAGAGTAATTATGAGAATTGATTCTTTTTAGAGTTGGTTTCATATGATATCGCGTGATCTGGGGTGGCACAAGTGTGAGGTTAGTAAAACTTTGCTTTAGGCTCCAAAATTTTGGTACCCAAAAATTTTTAATAGATTTTTAAATGTTATTTTGCTTAGACAATATTAATACTCGTAAAAAAAATATAAAATTTTAATTAAGAAAGATGAAAATACTAGACTCTTTAGTAGTAAAAATACTTTAGAACATTAAATTAAACTACTCAAATTTTCATATTAGTAAATAATTTTTTACAATAAGATCAAAGATAATAAAAATAAAGTAAAATCCCCTAAGATAACAAGCATATACAGTTAAACATATACTACCATTTTAGTTCACTGGAATGCATTACCACAATTCACATTAAAGAAAGCCAAAAGAAAAAATACACTTAATCTAACTCTTTGACCTTTGGATTGATGTTGAGCTTGAATAGGAATTCTTCCAAGGCAGAGGAAATATATTTTCAAAAATATATCTAACTCTTACCCTTTGATTTCAGTCTTGGATTATGCTTCTTCCGTTATTATTGTAGTGCAACTTTTCAGAGTACTTTGAACTAAGTTGTACAGATGGAAAGCAGCACTATCTAAGTCAGTAAGCTTCAAGCCATTCGTTAGTGAAGCTATGCCGTACATAATCTTTTCTATCTCCTTTGCATTGTCATCCTATAAATCAAAGAGATATAGTAGTTAGAGAACAATTTAACATTTTAAGATTTAGAAGACATAATGAAATATACCTTTGGATCCTTTACTACTCTCGACCTAAGCTCCTTAATAATTGAGTGCTTATGGTTGATCTTAAGCACCCTTTTGTTAAGCATGTAGGTCTGCTTACCTAAATCTAATATAGCTTGTGACTGCAATAATCTCTCCAAGTATGCAGTCAAACCATATGTTGATGTGACAATGACATAAAGAGTATCAACGAGAACATGGTTGATTTTTATATCAATATTGTCCTCAGCAAGAATATTTTTCCACCGTTGCGCAAGCTTGTTGAATGAGTTTTCAAGCTCGAACTCATCTTCAGACACATCATGAAATCCCTTTCCCTTATATTCTCCCAAATGTAGAATCACATATTCATCAATTTCATCTTTGAAGACTATTACCTAGAAAATGAGGGGAAAAAAATGAATTTTAGTCATTTTGTTTCCAGACCTAGTATAATATGCACCCCAACAAAAAGTTATATATTGTAGTTTTTCTTTTTAAGCATCTTAAGAAATGGAAACTTTTCCAACTGCTCTTTATTGTCACTTATGTAACATATATTCTCTAAGCCTAATATCATTCTTGACATGTATTGGTCAAGTGAAATCAACTTACCATTTGATTTTGGTAAGGCTTAAATTATTTATTTACGATCATGTCTTTCGCATCAAGTATGTTTTTGTGTAAAAGTATTATGTTCAAGATCCTGATACTATTATTGGTTTATAGCACAATATGATTATTTATATGTTTGAAGTTTATGTGTAATATGGTATCAGAGCCTAATATTTGAACTAATAATCTTTCGCATCAAGTATGTTTGTATATTGCTTTTCTGTAAAAGTATTGTATATGTTATAAATTTTTGTGTTTATATGTGTCATTCTTGACATGTATTAATCGATTTAATCAAGTATAATAATACCTCTCAAATCGAAGAATTTTGGCAACTTGGTTCATATTAGGCTCAGACTTTATCATTGCAAGCTTTATATCAGAATCCAAAAATCAAACTAGCCGTGATGGTATCTAACCCAACCCGTTAGGTAAGCCAGTTTATAAATATCCGATTCAATTAATATTTAACTGACTCTAATACACTTCTCAAGGACTGATAGTACAAATCATGAGATTCTAAGATTAGAATTTACAAAGGTGGTATGAAATAAATATATCATATGTTAGAAATGTACATAAACAGATTTTTATAAATCTAAGGCTACCATGAACAAGAGGCAACTACAACCAGAACACAGGTACATCTTTAAATCCATCTCCTGTCGATCACAGCAACATCAACATCCAATATCTGCACGCAAGGTGAAGAAGTGTAGTATGAGTACAACCGACCCCATGTACTCAATAAGTAACAAACCTAACCTTAGGTTGAAAGTAGTGACGAGCTGGAACACAGGACATGGTCCAACACTAATAGACAACAACAGTTCATAACAACATAATGGAACTAATAAAAGAAGTAGCTTAGAGATAAACTGCTCAACTGGTTCACAGTTCTAGAAAAATAGACCTGCTTTTCTCTCACGACCCAAAATCCAACTAGTCGTGATTGCACCTAACCCAACCCGCTAGGTAAGCCAACTTTCATCTTTCCAATTCTAATAATAATTATTAAAGCAATTTAAGCAAATAAAGATCTTTATCTTATACATTCCCCAAGAACTAGTAGTACAAATCATGAGCTTCTAAGAATAGAATTTACAAAACTGATATGAAATAATACATCATCTGTTCGAAATGTACATGAAAAGATTGTTATAAATCTAAGGCTACCATGAACAAGAGGCAGCTATAACCGGAACGCAGGTACATCTTCAGATCCAGCTCCCAACGAACACAACAACATCTGCACGCAAGGTGCAGAAGTGTAGTATGAGTACAACCGACCCTATATACTCAATAAGTAATAAACCCAGCCTTAGGTTGAAAGTAGTGACGAGCTTGTACCAAGGTCGGATCCAAAATCAATAGTCCACAACAGTCCATAACCACATAAATAAAATAATACAAGAAGTAACTCAGAGATAAAATGCTCAGCTAAATTATGATTTCGAAAAAAAAAATAGTTCTTCCTTTCAAGTACATCAGTGAAAACCCAAATCGTTTACCGAAGTTGCCAAAAATATGAATAAGTTTGAAAATAATAATTTTTTCAGAAATCCTTTCAATAATAAATGAGATGCTGTATTTTCTTTCTAGATAACCCGTGTAAAACAAATGCATCACTATACCCATCTGTCAACATATGTGAGAAATCATGAATGATGTGATACTGTACAGCATGGGAAAAATACATCTCTATGCCTGTATGTCATGTGTACATGTCAATGCGATGCAACTCAGTGATAAAATCATATGCATACTCTCAGAGTATCATTTCACTCAGTCCTCACAGTCACTCAGTCCTCTCAATCGCTCGGCGCTCCGCACTCGCACTCAGTAGGTACCTGCGCTAACTGGGGGTATGTACAGACTCCGGAGGGGCTCCTTCAGCTCAAGCGCTATAATCTGCACGGACAACTCATGTACTGCACGGATAACTCACGTGCTATAGTATCAATATTTGTATCCGCACAGACAACTCACGTGCTATAATAAAGCCAATATGGCCTGTTGCGGCGTGCAGCCCGATCCCATAATTATCCTCACAATCAGGCCCTCGGCCTCACTCAGTCATCAATCTCTCCAGTCTCTCGGGCTCACAATGTCATAAAAATAGCCCGAAAATGATGATATGATGTATCAATAAATAACAACAGAGACTGAGATATGATATGCAATGAAATGAATATGACTAAGTATGAATTTCAATTTAAAACAAAGAATTCACAGTAATATGACCTCTATGGATCCCAATAATACTGGCACATAGCCTCAACATGATTTTTAATATGATTCTCAACTCAATTTCTTTAACACATAAAACTGCATGGAAAATGCCAAGATTATTTTACTACAAAATTCCACGAAACAATTACGTCACAATTTCTATGGTGTACGCCCACACGCCCGTCATCTAGCATGTGCGTCACCTCCAAACAATTCACATAATACATATATTCAGGGTTCATACCCTCAACTCCAATATTAGAAGAGTTACTTACCTCGAACAAGCCGAATCCAATGTCGAGCAAGCTAAACAATGCTCCAGAAATTCTATTTTGTGCATAACAACTTCCGAACGGCTCGAATCTAGTCATAATTAATTTGATTCAGTCAACCCAAATTATAGGAATTTATTCCATATCAAAATACTAATGTTTTCACAAAATCTGAAATTATACTCAAAAATCGCCTGTGGGGCCCAAGTCTCGGATTCCGATAAAACTCACAAAATTCGAACCCCCATTCAACCACGAGTCCAACCATATCAAAATTACTCAAATTCGACCATAACTCGGCCTTCAAATCCTCAATTAAAATCTATGAATTGTTTTACTATTTTCAACCCAAAACACTAATTTGTTGATAAACATAATAATAGATTCATGTAATTTAACCAAAACCGAGTTAGAATCACTTACCCCAATCCATATGGTAAAAATCGCCTTTAAAATCGCTTCAATCCGAACTCCATAGCTTCAAATGTGTTAAAATGGCCGAAACCTCAAAATATATCTTCTGTCCATGCATTTACTCTTCGCGATCACGAAGTACAAAAATTTTCAGCCCCAACATTGCTCTTCGCTATCGCGAAGAACAAACTCCCCAACTCTTCCAGACATCCTCTAGTATAATGGTCATAACCTTTTGTACAAAACTTCAAATTACAAATGGTTTAACTTTCTAAAAACTATATACCAAGGTCTATAACTTTCATTTGTTTCTCATCTCCAATTCCTTATAGATTGCTAGATATAAGCTTCCAAAGTTAGCCATGTGCAACAGAGATTTCCAAACTTTTTCCAGACAACCTATAGTGTATCTACCATAACCTTTTGTACGCAACTCCAAATGACAACTGGTTTACCTTTTTGAAAACTAGACATCAAGGGCTACAACTTTCAATTTTGGATTATCTCCAAATTCCTTATAGATTAAAAGATATAAGCTTCCAAAGTCGGGTCAGTACAGCAGAGATTTTGTTCTACGCGATCGCGAAAGAGCTTCCGCGATCGCGATTCACAAGGCCTCAAACTGCTATTTGCTCATTGCGGACGCGACCAAATAGTCGCAATCGCGATCGCGATGCACACCTCTGTAGGCAGAAACCAGCAATTAAAAATGGCCTAGAAATGGTCTGAAACTACCTCGAAATTCACCCGAGCCCCTCGGAACCTCAACCAAATATACCAACAAGTCCTAAAACATCATACGAACTTAGTCGAAGCCTCAAATCACATCAAACAACGCTAAAACCACGAATCGCACCTCAGTTCAAGCCTAATAAACTTTGAACTTTCAAATTCTATATCTTGTACCGAAATACATCAAATCAATTCGGAATGACTTCAAAATTTGCACACAAGTCATAAATGACATAACGAAGCTATTCCAATTTTCAAAATCGGATTCCGACCCCGATATCAAAAAGTCAACTCCCCGGTCAAACATTCCAAAAATTCAACTTTTGTCATTTCAAGCCTAATTCCACTACGGACCTTCAAATAATTTTCCGGACACGCTCCTAAGTCCATAATCACCATACGAAGCTATCAGAATCATAAAAATTCAAATTCGAGGTCGTTTACACATAAGTCCACATCCGGTCAACTTTTCTAACTTAAATTTTCAATTATGAGACTAAGTGTCTCATTTCACTCCGAAATCCTTCCGGACCCGAACCAACTAACCCGATAAGTCATAAATCAACTGTAAGGCATAAATTGAGCAGTAAATGGGGGAACAAGGCTGCGATACTCAAAACGACCGGTCGGGTCGTTACATTCTCCCCCACTTAAACATATGTTCGTCCTCGAACGTGCCAAGAGTTGTTCTTAACCTTCAAATCTCTATTCCACCTTACCACGCACATACTCGGGGGTGATCTCACGTCACCCTATTCTATATAGGTCTGAACACACAACATAACTGAAAATCATTAATTTAACCTTAGCCCAAAAACCATAGAACCAAATTTCTAACATCCAGAATTTTTTTCAAGACCCGAATCTCACATCTACACACTGTATAAGCCTGAACAAGCTGTATCTAGCCATAACCATAATCCCAGATATAATCACATAGCATACTACACAACTCGCATACTCGTAGCACCATTTCTGATCACAGTAACTACTCAAAACCAACCAAGTACTAGTATAAAACCCCGCATTCAACAGAACGTCATTCCGAAACCTTCGTACACTTCCAATGATGAAAGAAAAAATCAAAAACTCATAACCACTCATCAGATCAGCTAGCCATGGAGCTCTCTCGC